AGGATATGTTCAGTTTGCTTTAGCTGTAGTCTCCATTACAAACATGAGCAGCCACCCTTTAATTACAGCTAAAGTCAAATACTGAGATATACTGAGTTTTACAGACATTCATCTGACACTACCACTAAATTCTAGCATTAATCACAATATACCTTTTAAAGTCAACACCCAAATATTTAAAGGTCTATCTTGCAATCTAAAGACTGACACTACTTCATTTAAAAGGAGATGGGCTGCAGTATGACAGTGCTTCATCTGCAGCAGACTCAGGAGTTCAGCCTTCGAGAAATGTGTCACTAACTGCACAGTGTCAATTTGTAGCATAAAAAAATACCAACTCACTCACCAGCTGTGGAATTTGAGTAGCTGACTATTACAGATGAAATCCCTTGAAATTAAGGTACACCTACACATTGAAATGGGAAGTAATTATGTTCATCGGTATGACAGTTCTGTTTCCTTGCTCTACTTTTTGAAAAGACTTAGTTTTAAGGAAGATGTTAAAGTGAGAACACTAGGCCATTACTGGCCTCACTTTGTTTGACATTCTACATCAAGAAGCTAATGACCAAGAGACCCAGCAGCTGGGACAGTTCCTTAAACCTAATTGTACATTTAGTGCCTCAAAATTGAGGCAGGCATTCTATAAAACATCCAACTATTAATGTTCCTCCATAATTCTCTGAAATATCTAACATGAAATAAGTTTAATTATAGTGTTATGCATTATATTGTCAAGGCCACACCTATTAAAACTCCAACTAAACACATCTACACCTTTCTACAGTGCTAAAAACCTCATAGTAAGAATAAATATTCATAGGTTTTACTCAAAAAATGCAGAGTTAAACTTCTTTCAATCTGGCCTTTCACATGTTAGTAGCTGCTGAACTCTGTCCAATTTTCAGATGAAAAAAAGATTAATCTTCCATGAAGTACTACAAAAAATAAATCCCCAAGTACAGCAGATGAGACTACTTAAAGAATTTAGCCAGAAAAGGAAAACCCCTCTTACTGATTTTTGGGCAGAGAAACCACGCACATGCTCAGACTTGGTAAGTTTGAAGAGACAACAACAAAAAACAAGGGCCCAGAGCTTCTACCTCTTCCCTCACTTCCTTTGGTCCGTTTCCTGTGGACTTCCACTCCCCTGAAAACATATCCATATACTCAAGAAGTATAAAAGCATCTTTGTGAATTTCCCTGCATAAGAGACTTAGAACAGAGCTGTGAGTCCAGGTCATTATACCCCAAGGCATCAAAAAACTATCCTCAAACAGCTTTAAACCTTCACACTGAGCTGACATTCAGGAATGAAGGGATCAATGCAAGAGCTTGCCACACCTGACCTAGGGCAAGTGAGGCCCAGGAGAAGGGTAAAAAGACATCCCCAAACCCTTTTATTTCTTCTCCACAGATACACACTTCTGCTAAGTAAGGCAGACAGAGCAAATGGGTCAGAAAAGGTTCAGGAGAGCCTGCAGCAGAGCTGCAGTCAACATCTCAGCAGGTTTAAGGCCCAGAGGCCAATATCAAAGCCTGCCATTTCAATCACATTTATTCTAGCACCTTTAAGCCCTTGCTTCTAGCCATGTCCACAGTGCAGGACACTTCAGAGACACCCCCACAGCAAATCACCAGCTGCACCAAGGCAGGAAGCCTTTGCTAGCAGACATGTTCACATGAGCTTGTCACAGATCCTCTGCAGGACCAAGGACAGAGAGGCATTCACATTTCCAGTCAAGCTGCTCATGCATCAAGATATGATGAAGAGAGGAGCGGGGGAAGAGGACTCAAAAAACCTCAACTCTCCTTTAAGGCACAAGGAGAAAGTGAAGGGTTCAAAACGAGGGTTTCTATAGTGTTGAAGCTCAGCAAAATACCAGACACCTCAATGCTCCCCCTAGATAGCCCAAACACTACACACAAGCATTGAGAGTATACTCCTCTGTGCTGCAGCAGGAAATATTCAGAGAGTAAAGGCAGTAAATTTAAGAAGTTGCTGACAACTTGAAGCAGAGCCCAGGCAGATTCTGCACCCTCAAACCAGTCTCAAAAACAAACTTTCAGGAAGCTCCTACTGTTCATTTTCAAGGGTAATACAAATGCACAAGCACCCTGTGCCTATTGAGATTCTCAGGATAAAGTGCTGCACAAAAACTGAAAAGCAGAATTGCATGAATAAGGGTTGCAATCATTAATAAAAGACTCTACAAATGAATCCCAACTTTAAGTGATTTAGCAGTTATGTTCAACCCAATTTATCAGCAGATGCTCCTGCTAAGAGACACCTATTGCAGGACACCCACACTAAAGTCTTGCAGCAAGAGCTTAGAAAACGTTTCCTTATTTTCACACATTCAACTGCAGAAATAAAACTGCAGCCAACACACACAGAGGCCCATCACAACCCACTTCTATAATCTAAGTCAGACTTAAACTTGAAACAAACCTTAACCTGGACAGAAAAGCAACCAAAAAGAAACAAGCCATCCCTCAAAAACATATATGCTTTAGATATTACTCTTTTCCCCTCCCAAGTCATGAGGGCTAAGGATCAGTTAGTAGCTAGCTTTATTTGGTGCAAGATCAGCCACATGAGCATCCACCTGACAAAACACTCAATGGCCCTACAAAACCTGTTATTTATCTGCCTGCTCTTAATCAGTTCCTGTATCTAAACCAAAACCACAGATTGTCTCAGATTGAAAATTTAGACTCCAAGCATCTTTTAAAAAGCATCTTTATAGCTCAGATCTGATGCATGCGGTTGTCTGGAGAGCAGATATTTGGACAGCTCAAATCCCCAATGTTCTGGTACTCTGCTGCTTTGTGATGATCTAGGAATTTCACATTCCCAATCACCTTCATTCTTGGTGGTTTACAGCAGATGCTTAGCACTCCATATGGTTTGCATTCCACACAGATCCACAAAGACTTCAACTCACTTCCTGATTTCTGGGAAGTAGCACATATTAACATATCCCATTATTTTAATCATGCAGCATATGAGGAGAGGATGAAAGAACATAACTGCTATAAGGTGAGCACTTCCCATTGAGTTGCAATAGTTCTTGAGTTTGTCTTCAGGTCTCCAGAAATGGTAGTGGTGCACAGACCCCCTTTAACGTACTTGTTTTATACAAAAAACTTCCAAATTTGTCATATTGATTCCCCAAATGATGGCCTTTCATCACTAGAAGTTAGTAACTAGAAGTTAGTTAATCCACGCACCTTGCTTAAACAAAGCCTGGTCTGCTATATGCATTGCTTACTGGGAGTCCTTTGGGGAAAGTTTGCTAACCCGTCCATAGCTGAAAATCTCAGAGTTTAACAGGCATTGCACAGATTCCTTAGGGTGTCTACAGACCCAGAACATGTATTTCCAACTCTGACAGGACCATGGCACGATGCATTCATGCCTACAAACCTGTTGCTGCTGTACTCGGGAACACAGCCAGAACAGACACTACTCTGGCTTCAAGTGCACATGGGTCCCCATAGTATTCTTCTTGAAGGAGCTTGGAGCATATTCCTCAAACTGCTTCACTACCTCTTTGAATAGTTTGACACTTTGACAGCCTACAAAGCAGTAGCCATGGAATTGAGGCACCCTGAGTCCATTCCAGATGTGTGAAAGTTAGGGGTTCAATCCCTGAGCCAGATCTAGTGTTAGCAAGGCACAAGCTCTGAGCTTTCTGGCAGGGTGCTTTCAAGCAGGCTCTTCACTGCTATCCTGAAAACAGTTTGTCCCCTTTCCTTCACAGGACAGGTCCACAGTCACCAGAGAATTCAGCCTTAAGGGCTCAGTCTCAAATGGAACCTGCCTTTTCACCTCAAGCATCTTGAAAATTGCTTAATTCCAGCAGTTAACAAAGCACCCAGAAAAACCATCCAGAAACAAACCACACACAGCAAGTGGCTTGGCCTATTTTATTCTTTCCAGAGTAGATATTCAATATCTACAAAGCACTGCAGACCACTGATTGGAAGACAAATCATCGTGGGAGAAGTTTCTATCTCACAGCACTTCAAGCCAAAGCTGGTTTCATGTGTGAAATGACCACCCTGGAACACAGAGCTCAGTAATTCTCCAGGCAGAGCACCTCCTTCTGCAGAGCAGCAGACTGCTTTGCCTCTGGCATAGCAGGTCATGCCAAGATGGATGAGTTAAGGATATATCTGCACACCTACCATGCTGGCTCTCAGCTGGGCACATGAGCTTCAACTGTCCAGGAAAGAGGCATCCTGTTTTCTCATGCCAGCTCAGAGGTGATATCCCTTTCCAGAGGGGCAGGGGAGAATGCAAGGATGATTACATCTTGATGTATGAAGGATGTAACAGTAGGAATGTGCTTAACAGCCCAGGATTCTCCCTGCCTACCCTTCACATCACAATTTTTTGCAAACTCTGGTTTTGATTCCAGAGATTTTAATATATTAACAAACTCCCAAATGATCTGTGCTTTAATATCAGACTGAGGCTAACCTGAAGACTCTTCACAACCTCTGATTTTTGAATGCAAATATTTAAGTGGAAAGGGAGAAAGGGACTAAAAATTCACATGGCCATAGTGGGAGCTACACAAAGCCTGAAACTCAAGGCTCAGTACAAGTATTGTATTTTCTTCTGTGTGTTCTCACTACAGCAGAAAACTATTCTCTTTAAGAGGCACTAAGCTGATGTTTCTGCAGCTCAGGTCTTGTTTGAGCACTTCCACCCCCCACAGCATTACCACAATCACCATTGGCTTGCCAATCAGGAAGGGCCCATTGGGCAAGTGCTAACTAATTAGGTTGCAGTGTGCTGATCTGTGTCTGGACATGACAATAATCAATCCATCTAATCATCTCATTGCTTAATGAGAAATAAAAACACCATCTACATACAGCTAATGTCTTCATTAAGGGAACACTGCAAACCTCATCTATAACATGCCATTTTGCCTATTCATAGGCTTTTATCAACATGTTCTTTCAAATGAGAAATAAGAGTGCTATTACACATCAAAGAGCATATTCAATGCACACTGTAAACAGGACATTGTATCACAAAAATTCAAAATCAGGCCAATGCTTCCATAAACACTGGCCAACATACCGTCAGTGAAGTCCAAAGCGTACACTGGAAATCTTCGTGCAATGTCATCAGAAATCCCCTTGCCAACATTGAGAAACTCATGCAACTAAAGAAAGGAAGGAAGTGCTGTGTCAGTTTAAAGGCTCATGCATTGTTAAAGAGATTAACCTCCTTATTCAATATTGATATGAGCAAAACTGGTCATTTTGAATAGACCATTTTGAATAGGTCATTTCAAATCAGATTTTGTAATGATAATAGACATAAACCCTTTGCACTTTAATAGTGAATTATATCCTCAGAAGCACTGTAAGAAAAAGTCCCCAACACACCATATTTTCTTCCCTTCCTTCCCTCCCTCTTCCCCTTCCCCACTCACATCCCTGCTTCACAACTGAGGGAGTAGATACAGAACACAGAAGTGACTCTCCAAAAACACTCTTGGCCAACAACATGATTAGATTTCAGGTGCTGGGTGATGCTTGAGTACTTGCAGCATCTATGTTGGGTCAGAGCTGCCCTCCCAACCCCTCCAGCCAACTCCAGATTCAGATCAGGCAAAATGTTCCCTAAATTCATGAAAACCACTCTGGAAGGGCACCTTTGTACATTATTCTCTTCACCACTTTCACAAAGGGGGAAGACCTCAAATCAATAAGACACCTGTCTACACCTCAAACTCCACTGAAAAAAATGCTGGAATTGCTTCAAATAGAGCTTTAACTTCTGTCCATAAACAAGACAAATGCTGTGAAGAGGTCTCAAAGACCTGACATGCTCTCTTTTGTCTGGGGACCTACAGGATGCAAGTATTTGTTTACAAGATCTAATGGGCATGACAGGTAATACAGAGCTTTTTAGAAATACACCACAGCTGTTATTGACTTACAGCCTCCCAAATCTCAACTAAATCCTTAAGGAAAACATTGAAAGCATCAGAGTAAGCAACACTTGCAAACAAGACACCTGTCTTTTTTGCTATCTTCAACTCTGGGTATAAATGCTACTACTAAAAAGAAACAAATAAACAAAAAAACACACAAAAATGGACCTTTCAAGTTTGATTATCCCTAGCCAACTCACATTAAGTATTTCATGTTTCTTGCAGACCTAGGTAAAGAATATTCACAACCTCTGCTAGAGGCTGCAACAGGAGAGAAAGAAAAATGTCACAGATTCAATATCTTTGCCAAAAAAGCACCTCATCACAACACAGAGATCTTCCCAACTTTGCCTGGCTAGTGCGCTGTGAAGCCTCAGGGATTCAGGAAGGACTTCATGCTATTGTGTTCATTTAGACTACACAGCCTCATCTTCCCTCACAAGACTCACCTGTCTTGCAGTGCCTGGAAGTTCAGAGTCACATCAAAGTAAAACCTCAAATTCACATCAGAAAACAAAACTCTACTAGAGACAGCACACCCCAGATAGAGCAATCAGAATTTTAGGTGCAGAGGATCACCATCTCATATTTCAGCTACTTGAACCTATTCTGTTTCTGTTAGCATATTGCCAATGCGCTTGTATTTTAAGTCCCTGTCCCAGACTTCTAGAAACCAAAAACTGAGGTCTACATTCCTTTAGTGGTGGCACCTCTCACGGTCCCATCTGTGATGCTCTCAAGGCAATACACTGATACTGCGATGCTTGCTCCAGAAGGCATCTTTCCCAGAGCTACACCCTCCCACCAGGCTAAAACCTAATTAGCCTTTGGAAACCACCACTCAAGTACCCAACACAACCTCCTTCAAACTCCTATTCTTTCAAAGGTCCTTCTAGCACTTTGTGCTCCCACTAATAGAGGTGGGAGTAGAAAACAAAAAGGAGGACCCATAAAAAAACAACTCAAAATTTACCAAACATCCATTTTCTGTTTTACAAATTGCTCCAAGTATCTTGCCATAAACTTGAGCAAGAGGCTCAATCAGCCTTATTAGTTATGCAATTAGAAAATAGCTCCTTCAAAAACAGACTCCTTTCAGCCACCACCTAAAGCAGAGAGCCCCTTCCTTTTACAGGAGTTCACTTGTGCAATACAGGAGCTCCAAATTAGGGTATTTTAACTTGGGGTGTTTACAGATTGGACAAAACTAGGGTGTGATTACAAGTCAGCTACCAGATTAAATGCTTCCTTTCATGCACTCTATCACACAGAGCAGGCCAAGAGAGGACTAGTGGAGATTATTCTGCACTCATCAGCTTGTAGGAGAACTATGTTCCCAAGCCAAACTCACTCCTACAGGCAAAACTTTGTCAAGAAGATGGAAAGATAGCTCCATACTGGCTCTTAAGAACTCTGCTGGCAAACCCACTTAGGGCAGGATAAGCACATTCTTCTAGGAGACATCAGAACACATAGGACAAGAAAACTGAAGGGGAAAAATGTTATAAAAACGATGACTGATCAAGTCAGTAAGACCAAGAATGGCTGTTGCCAAGAACAAGCATTAAAGAAATGGACACAGCTATTTACAGGACTCAGCAACGGAAGGTCTGCCTGGCAATACCTCTTGCCAAGCTAGAGGCTAGGAACACCACTTCTTGTGGTCAATGCTTATCAGGTCAGCATTGCTAACAGAAACCTGCTCTCTGATTCTGAGCCATAGAGCTGAAATCTCTATACAGACCTTAAAAAGGTACTTTTAGCAGGAGACCAAGCAGTCCTGAAGACTCAGAGCTAGTATACTGCCAGTCATCCCTTAGAGGTTCAAACAAAGAGTTAAGCTTCATTCACTCATGTGACACTGCTGAAGTTAGTCCAGATATCACTACTCAATGACTGAATTTCAAGAATATTTCAAGACTCACAGGATGGCTGAGGTTGGAAGGGACCTCTAGAGATCATCTAGTCCAAACTCCATGCTCCAGGAGGGACATCTAGAACATGTGGCACAGGGTGGCATCCAGATGGGTTTGGAAGATCTCAAGAGAAGAAGACTCCACAGCCTCTCTAGGCAGACTGTTCCTGTGCCAAGCCTCAATCTACTGGCTCTTAAGATTGCATGTATGGTGACTGGCACAGAGTTCAAGTTGCTACCTATACAGGAAGGCACCTTATTGAAAAAGAAAATTGTAGACTTTGCTCATTTCCAGATGTGCAGCTGAAACCCTTAATTCTACTCCAGAAAAAAGCAATAAGTTACCAGCTGTCACACCATAGACAACGCTTTATGATTAGTAATACATGGACAGGAGTAGCAGGCTAGAGATAGCACAAACTAGTTTGTTTTGCAGGTATGCTGCGTGGTTAAAGGAGGAATTTATGAACGGAAGAGTGCAGTAACCAATACACAGGAAATTCCAGAAAAGAAAGCGGAGTTACAGCATTTCCCTCAAACTTCAGAGTAGAAAGCCAGTTCACAGTACAGAGCTACAGATCAAACAGCAAGAAGTCAGGCAAAGTACTGGCAGACAACTTGCAAGTGAAATTACTATGTGTGGACAAGCTAAAAAAAATCTGACCATAGGAAAGACAAGCAGCAGTATCTTCAGAAACTTCTTCTGATTGTAAGGATTAAATACCTTGTATTGACAAAGCTCAGCAATTCATTAACCCCACCTTCAACATCTGGAAGCAAAGCTGTGACCATCAACTCCCTACTGATTCTGTCCCATTCTATCCCATCAACACTCACACCTTGGAAGAATCTTCCTTGGATTTATGGCAGGATTTGAACATGAACATGTAGCTGTTTGTAGAAACCTCAGAACAGGGAGCTTGTAAGAGGGCATGATGGATAAGCAGCAAAAATGCTTTTTCTCCTTAACCCTAAACCCTCACATTGATGCATTTGGACACCACCACAACATAAAGACACACGTTGGTCAGTCCTACCTTGAGCGGCTTAGGGCTGTGTGGCTTATGCCCATCGCTCACTGCTGAGGGTCTCTGATTCACCACTGTGAGCAAGTGACGTTGGTGCACTAAGGCTTCCTTGAACTCCTCTTCAGTTTTGGTCTCCAGAAGTTTCTGCCGAAAGGTTATGTCCGAAAACATCGTGGCAAAGGTCCGGCCCACCTCTGTGGCAGTTTTGGTACTTTTCTGTGAGGATGCAGTAGGCAGGAGCTCTGTGCACATGCTGATGTTTCAGCAGAAACATGGATCTGTTTCTCTGCCAGCTTACCAGGACAAAAGCCCAAACCGAATCGTGCTGAGCATACATATACTTTATCCCTCTAGTCCTTCAAGGCTAAGACTAAATAGATAAAGATTCTTGCTATCATACGGTCTCTCATGCTTTCCTGCTACTGGGATAGTCAAGACTCCTGCAGGTGAAGGTGTCTAGTTGTGTTTTCCAGTAGACAAGGATTATTGTATACATCTGCTTCATCATCTTTGTATTTTCTGGGCATTAAAACCCAATTTGGTCGGTTTCCCTGGGGCAACTCCAGTAGAAGTAGAGATTTAGAGCTCTCAGCTAAAGTACCAGGGAAGGCGCAAGGAAAAAGCAGAGAAAATAAGCAGCTGAACTTGAAATACAGTGCTACTTGTATGCTTCTCCAACAAATGCCTAGAAGGGGCAGGAGACTTAAGAGCATGAAAAAAGTGCCTATTCACTGACTAACATGTCTGTGAGCTACAGGCTTGATATTTGAGGGTGCAGCTTAAACACTATCAAAAACACTTTCCCATTACTTCAAACACACTGTAAATGAGATATAAGGCAGCACTAAGGGACAGAGGCATGGACTTGACCATTTTGTGCAGGAATGGAGATATCTATAAATCCCAACCTGCTCAACTTACTGCATCACTTTGGTCAGGCTAGAAAGATACCTGCCAAGGCAGCTTCCAAGCTACAGCCTTGGCTCTGACAGCATAAGAGCTGCTTCTGATGCTAATTTTAAGCATCTTATGCTACACTCAACTCCCTCTCTACAGCCACTACTGGAGACACCCAAACAGCCATCCTCCTTTGGAGGGCCTCCAAACTCCTAGCATTACTGTGTAGAGTAGTAGTGTGCGTTATTGATCTGAATTAATTCTCATGATTCACAACAAAGCAGATGAGCCATCTCTTCAGGAACACAACCAAATTAATTCAGTGTCATTTGATGAGGAGACATGAACACGTGGGGGACACCACGCTAGTCTCAGTCATCCTTTCAACACTGATTGCTCACCACTTGCCTCCTCCTCACATTCACCCTCTCTTGCAGCTAATGTCACTACAGATGTGCTCACTAGAGTTCCTTTGAATTTAGCTTCCACAGAAGGTCTGGGTTTGGGGGCTATGAAGGCTTTTGAGCTTGATCCTTCCAGATTAAACCAGCCTGGGTTTGTCACAGCAGGGAAAAGGATGAAGGCTTCTTATTTCACCTCTGAGAGGCAGTCTCCTTGGGTTGAACACAGCAAAGAGTTACTTTGAGTTGCCCAATACTGTTTACTCTCTGCTCTCCCACTCTAACTCATCTTTCCCAGGGAGAGGAATGTTTGTAAGATCTGTGCTCCTCCTCCAAACTGTTCAAGTCTCTTTCCATTCCCTATGTTAAAGACTGAAGAACTGTATTCCTTTGCACAACAGATGCCCATTTCCCAGGCCTTTTTTCACCCCCTCCAAGCAAAGCTCATTTAATCTGTTACTGTCAGCAGGTTAATTATTTTAACGGCTGTACCAGAAATGCGTACTTCAAGCTGGCTAGATCAACTCATTTAAAGTAAAGCATATTGGCAACTGCAGCTCTGCTTGGCCTCCGCTCCCTTTCCTTAATTTGATGATGTCCATTAAAGTTGCAGACTTTCAGGATACAAGCGGATGCAGAGCTGTTTGTTGGGTGCTTTGCACAGAGCTGGCTGGAGATAAGCTAAGTGCCCTATGATGAGAGAGAGATCAACACAACTACAGGCCTGTTCAGTGGTTTGCTTGTGCATTTCATGGGGACATCAATATGTTTTCAGCCTGTAGAGTTTAAGATCTATGCCAAGAGCATTGAACCACTCTGGAAAGATCTGCCAAAAAATGCTGGGAAATAAGGAAATATCAGTATTTCCATTTCAACAAGGGTGGTGGTAGAGGGAGGAAGACAGACAGACGAGACTAGGAGGTCCCAGGGTCACACAGATAGCATCAAGAAGCAGGAAATTCAATCCGGATCTCTCACATTTCAGACAAGGTCTCCGACCTCCCCAGCACCTCCCAGCAGCAGAGCAGCCTAAGAGCTTACTCAGACAGCTCGAGCAGGCCTTGAGCTTTGATCTCCTCAGCCATGAGACAGTAGGACAGGACACACACGAGTTGATCAAGTCCATGTCCCAGGGCTTTTTAGAAAGTAGAAACAACAATCCCCAACTGCTCTTAATGTGCCCTATGAGAATACAATAAATGAGCATGCTACCAAGTCATTTGTTGGCATTGCCAGTACACACAATGACTAAGTACACCTGAGCAAGCTTTAACCTTGTTGTTTAAGGTGGCAACAGCCATAAAGATGTAGCCACAAGGACCTTGGCACAGTTTAACTTTACAAGAATCCTGGCTCCCAACTAGCCTCACCCATATCACAGCACAACTCACAACTGCATCTCTATTAGCAAAATTGCTGCATGTACAACTGCATCTGCACTGTAACACAGAGTCTAGTAAAGAGAGTCTTTGCTGTTAAAAAACAAACAAAAACCCAGAACTTCAATGTAGAGCATCAGTTGCAGACTTAAGAGAGCCCTTTTGCCAGAAGTGCTTCAACTAGCCAGGAACAGCACCTCAAAAAAAAAAGGCCAATAAAGCTGGAGAAGTTCAAAATTACCTGTGGATTACTACTTGTAGTAACCACAGATTGTGGAAACAGCAAGAATTGAGCATAGGAAGACTACAGACACTTGGCTTGGAGCATTCCCCACCATGGCAGGATACAGGCCATTCTACAGTATGGGACAACGAAAAAGTTGATGAAAATATATCCCTCATACACAATTACAAAGCAATTTTGAGAAGTTCTGGAAAGGTTTCAAACTTCGTCACATCCGCACATGTAAGCAAAGCGGGTTATCATTAACCTAAGGAGAAAAGTCAAAGAAAAGCAATCCCTAGGAGAATCCTCTCAAGCACCAGAGTAAGAGAGCAATACTCACCATTTTAAGAGGAGCCAGGACTAGTATCACAAATCTAACTTCGCAGGAACTTTCACCCCAATTCTGAGGCCTCTCCAGGCGGCTGATGCAAACGTGACGTCGCTGAAGGGACTTTATAGTGCAACTGTCGAGGGAGATAGCACAATTATCTCTTAGGCATGATGAGACACTGCTCTATTCTGGTAGGCAAAGTCTACCAAGAGACATTTCAGTGATGAGAATGCAAGATAGTTGTGGACAGGCTCACTTAGGTCTTTACCAATGACTTCAAATTACTCCCAGCCCAATTAACACTTTTGCAGAACTTGACCTCCATGCATTTGTGTGATATAGCTTCCAAGGTTAAAAGGCTCATTCTCGCTCCTCCCCATCTGCTTTTTAACAAAAAGGCAAGAACATGACTTGTATTTGCAGTGCTACAGAAGCATATGCATCCTCTTAGACCCAAAATGTTAGGCACTTCACACCTCCAAAAGCACTCTGGGAGGTGAGAGGAAATTAAACAGGAAGAGACAAGGCAAGGTACCAAACCAACACATCTCCATTCCTCCTTGTGCTTGGGCAGATCTATCATATCTGTTGCAATAACTTTCCCTTTTTGCTCTCAGCTGTTTTCCCCTTTCCCTTACAGACACACTACAGATACCAAGCTGACCTTCATGCATAAGCCCTGGGGGGCTGGAGCAGACTCAAGTGCTGCTCAGGAGCCAGGGCTGAGCTGCAATCCAGGCAACTGGGCCAGGCATGGAAAGGACATTTGATTAAGCAGTACTCCTATAACCAAGACCAGTGACCAGTTGCTTGATACTAAGACCACATTTGGAGGTTGTGAGAGATCAATACACTCTGCAATATTTAAAGCTGTGATCAAGGAACCATCATTTTTTCCTGCTAGAAACTCAGGAAAAGCAGCAAAGCAACTTGGTGCAGTTGCCAAGTGCCATGGCAGGAGCAGGAGGTTAATGCCAGCCTGGGCAGCAGCCTTTTCATTCCCATAAAAACCTCCTTGCACTTCAAAGTTGTTCAAGTCACTGGTGAGACAGATGCATGGGTTTTGCACAGTCATATTCAAGAGATACAGAAGTGTCCATTCCCCCCACCTCAGACTTTATTTGGTGGTTAAAAAAAAATCATTTCAACTATTTGTTCATTTCCTTTTCACCCAAACACCTATCACAGTCCATAAGTCACTCAATTTCTTCTTCAAAATTATGGCCTGTCTTTCCTTCCAACATTCTCAAGCACACGTGCCCTGAAGGCCATTCCAGCAACGGCTCCCAAAGCTCTTTAGCTAGAGATGTACTTCAGGAGCACAGGACGTTGAAGCATGAGATATTCATAGTTCTCCAAAACTCACATATAAAATCACCCCTTCCAAGATTTTTTTTGTTGTTTTTTTCTACAGTTTCTTATCAATGGATAATCAGTAAGTCATTTGATTCATACAAATTAGAGGCACTTCTTGGAAAGGGGAACTTCCAAATGAGCTTATAGTATGCCAATAAAACATCAGGAAGAGGACATTATTTCATAGATTTCCTAACTCCTCTCTATCACGGCTTTTTGGCCTTTTCTCCCCCCCTCCTACAGAAATAAGCCTGGGAAGAGAATACAGAAAAAAAGGCAAATCCTTAAGCTGGAAATAAATCTGATTGAAAAATACAAAGCCAACATCTTCTCTAATCTCAAAAACACCTACAGTTTGGAGACTACTATCAACACCCAACATAGTTTGGGACTTGCAAGAGTCATTGTCCTTCTGCCACATGAGATGAAGCAAGCAGAGTCAACAGCCCCTCTCAGAGCCTCTTGGTAGCAGTTCTGCTATGGCTGGGCAGCTTGCAAGTCACCTGGTGCTACAGCTAAGCAAACTGATAGGGCAGATGCATTAACTCTAGATTTTAAACCAACAGAAGCACAAAGTTGACCAATGTCTTTCATGAAGACACATGAAGGCAAGATAAAGAATAAATTGCACAAACAAGGCAGGCAGTAGTTAATGCAGCATGAGGAAATAGATCCATTTGTATTCTGCTGTTTTTATCTCAAGTCAGCATGTTCATTCCTTAGCTTCTAAGCTTGCTGATCAAGTTATCTGCTCTGAAAAGGAGGGATTTCTAGTCACTTAGAGCATCACTCCTATTCTAGAGATAGCCAGAACCAGATACTGAATATGTCCAGCAAAGCACTAAACACATTACCTGCCCTGTAAAAAGATAGGGCCTGCAGCATCTGACCCAGCAATTCAATAGAGCTTCTTGCAAAGTGCAGTCAGACAAGGATTATTACAGGGCAAGAATTGGCCATATTAGCACATGCCCTGGCGCTGGAACTGGCAAAGGACCCCAGGGCATGCAGCAAACAGAAGCTTGTACTTGTGTTGATACCAGCACACAGGAGCCCTTCTCCCCTTGCTACAGTATGTGAAGTCCTATGGCAATATAGCTGTTATTTGGGGAAAAAAATCTATTTTATAGAGCTATAATTAAGCCATCCATTCATTCTTCAGAATAGAGTTTGACAGCCAGCATTCTCACTGGACAGTGTTGGCCACTGAAGACTGAAACTTAGTGATGTAGTCTAAACCTATATTGCTATAAAATGGGCAGAGTGTTTAAGCAAGGGTCAGAATCAAAACAGACTTAAGGAAGTGACATTGAGAGCAGCTCCAAAGCATACAGGCACGGCTGTATGGAATAGAGAAATGAAGCATGGAGAAGGAACATGGCCTAGGTAAGGCAGCAAATGTCTTCAAGCAGCACTTAAATTGCCACTTAAAAAGCCCACTAAATACCTAAACCCATACTGAAACTCTGGACAAGAAAGATGCTTTTAGTTGACTCTAGGACTCAAGTTCTGTTTTGCCAGAGTTCCCTTTTGGTTTGCATTACTCTTAATTTAGTTCTCTTGGTTTGGCCACAAAGCTTAAAAAAAATACATTTTCACTCAGTATTAGTCACATATAGAAATGCTAGGCTATGATTTAATGGGATGTCAGGTTACATCTTCTACAGTTTTATCTTGATCTTCCAATAACTAAATTAATTAAAAAGCCATTTCAATTATAGCACCTTATCTACTTCAGTGTCCTCTTGCAGGCTGCATGTCTAGCAGTGCTCACCAGGGCATTCAGAGGGTAAAAACCCCCCAAAAATCACCGACGCACCGAGTCCCACATGCTGAGGATCTGACCTACGCCAAAGATCTTATCAGAGTAATAACACATTTTTCAAACAAATCATAAAAAGAGGCAAATTATGGAGACCCAAGAGAAACAGAAGCCCTCTTTAAACAGGGCAAGAAAGGAAGTTAATTCAAAAACAAATTATCCCCTGCAGTAAGAAAAAATGCCCAGCAGAGGTAATCAGCCAGCCAGCCTTTTCCTGTCCCAGTGCAGAGCAACAATGACACTTCTTGTTCCCGCACACTGCAAATAAATCCTCCTCCAGGAACCAGCTCCAAGCAAAGGCTTTCAGAAACCAGAATTTGCAAATAAGAAATTCACTTCTGGCCAGCAAGACAGTTCATCAGGGCAGCAACAGCTCAGCACAGTCTTCACCAAGGTACAGTAAAATCCCCCCAAGCTGGATCTAGTTTTGGGCTGCTAAAAACATCCTGCTGAGCTCTGAAGAGCCTCCTCTTCCCTAACAGTTAATCTCTAAGGGAACTGGGGAGAAAGTGTTTCCTACAGGCCAACACAGGAGAAAACCTCCTCCTTCCTCCAGGCACTGAGCCAAAGTGCCTTTCCCACCAACAGCTCCCCTCGGGGGACTCAAATTCCCAACTAACAGCTTGAATTTGAGAACTCCCTTCCCTAACAGGGCAGCTGCAAGGGCCTCGGATATTTAGGAGTACCTGGGACAGGCAAAGAAGGATGCTACGGGCACCCCTCTCTAATTCTTTAAGCCCAAAAAGTGCATCAAAGGTTACATTTGCAAGCTTTGGGAGAGAAGCTGTTGTTTATAGGATTCTGCTAAAATAAATATTTGCTTTTGTAACAGGGTTGCAATTAATTCCTTACAGCATCCCCTTGCTATTGGGAATAAGGGGCACTTAGGAATACAGTGACTGATACTATATTTGAAAACTATTCAACATCTAAAATAGCAGCATTTTTTTCTACAGCTCATTTGGAACATACACACCTCAAGGTCCTGACACTTTGAACATGCTAGCAAGGCCTGGCTTTTACTTTTGTTTAGAGATGCATTGGTATTTGTGCTCCACACAATGATCAATTTCCCATGAAAACTGAGAAATTACTACTCAAATTCAGACATCAGTTGTACTTAATGCCCATTATAAACCTCACACTTCCTGTTTTTGAAAGGCTACCTTTTTTTGCATTATACTGCTCCAGAGGAACCACTGCAATGACAGTCTAACAGAATAAGCAATTTTAGAGCAGCACAGAGTACATGAACTACTGAGCTCCCCTCTTTGCTTGCAGAGAAGCTTCTTCCCCTCCTTTGCCTCTTACAGTATCTTTAGCAAATTAGCTGCAGGCACTAAAGACAACTCTGTTGCCAATCCATGTGCCTTATCAAGGCAACCAAAAGAAACAGCTCTTCAGCTACTGAATACAAGCTATGAAGCAGGTTGGCCCCTCCACCCTTCTCTCTAACTTTGGGGGAGGGAAATGTATTATCTATCCTGGTGAGAAGGACAGAGCTCTGACATAGCACTGCCAAAGGAACTCCATTCAACCCAGGCAGCATTTACTAAATAACCTACACAGCTGTTGTTGCTCCTAGGAGGACATCAAGGAGATATGCACCAGCAGCCACTTGACAGCTAATTTAACATTGCTAGCATTAGGGATCCTTCTTCCCACCTAGGAAGGAAGGAAAAGCTGTGCAAGAGGAAAACCAGGAGTCCTTGCATAGAAGATTCTTCCCCATCCTTTCCCACCCAGGCATGTAGAGTATCCAGGCTTTTGATCATGGTGAACTGGGCTGGTTCCTAAGGAATTCACAGCAGTTTCCATTTGTATCTGCTGAAGTTACTGCATCTGGGAGGGGTAGCAACATGCCATCCTAAGCTCCTTCCACAAGCTAAGTAAGTTAACCTGAACCTGACAGAGTATTGGGTCAGAAGCCATCACACCCTGATCTTCAATCCACCAATACCTTTTTCTGTCATGGGAACAAGGCCCAGATCTACATGGAAAATCTGACATTGATAGTGGGTCAATAGAACTGAACTGTTCAGGAGGGAGACAGTTCCAGCAGAAGCAGAATAACTTTCATCCTGGTTTTGCCCCACTCCAGCCCACACCAGCAAGTGTTAGAGCAGTCTCCTCGCCAGTGTAGGAAGGGGCAACAAATTTGTTCCCCATTAGAGACATTTCTGCAGGCAGCCTATGCAAAACTGGACAAAAACTCCACACCACTCTTCCTATATGGATTAAAGGTATCTTTGCCTTTAACACTGCCCCTTAAAATCAAGGCAGAAGCAGCACAATCAAAACCATGCCTCTTACTCATTAATATCATTGTATCTTGATACTTAAGCTTAATGCAATTGTTGTAAGTAGTTAAGGTGCATGCAAAACAGCACTGCTAACCTATATTCTTTGCTAAACTTTATTTGAAGTGCAGGGATAAATAACAGTAGAGTTAAGGGTTCTTGCAGCTTATATAGGAAAATTAAATCCTTCACCAATAAAGTTGCCTTTTACTTCAGAGCTTTGGAAGCTGTGTTTTGCAATCTAACTTACAGAACAACGTAAGGTCAAAAAATATGGCTCTCAATCTGTTGCACAATAGCTACAGCAGAAATACAGTACAATAATTATCTAATTATATTTAATAACTCATTATTGCTTTCCCACCACATTATTCTCTTCAGAGACACAAAATGAAGAAATGAGGAAGACTCTGCATAAGACACCTTCAGGCTGTGAGCTTATTTTTCAAATCATGTGTTATAGAAGCTACTATTACTCACAGATATTCAAAGCTTAGCCTCATTTTTTACAGAAAGGCTGAATTTATGCCATTAAGCTTTGCAAATGTAATCACAGCATTTGCATCATGACCTCTAGATGCACATTGTTACCAAGCCAGCACTTTGCCAAAGCCCTCAAGAGCCGTATGACATGCTGGGGTGGAACAAGGGATGGCCAGTCAATCTGCCACCCCCAAGGCTCTCCGCTTCTTCCAGTATAGTTTTCAGAAACTCAACTCCAGGAATTTTAAATTCACATTTTCACCTCTATGCATTTCCACAAATCTCCAGAACAATTTATGGAATGATTATAGATGAGGGATGGGGAAAACAGACTTTTCCCAAGAGAAGCTCTCACCCTCTGTCCTTCCCAGAGTAGCACAGCCTGTTTCATTGCCCCAACCTTGTCCATGGCATCCAAAGGGACAACACTGTACAAAAACACTACCTTGACCAGCAGACAAAGACCACTTTGCTATATGAACCTATTTTCTCATTTGTGTAAAGTGTACCCTAAATCCCAGGTGTAAAAACAAAGCTGATAATAGCATACACACAACAGACTCATTATGTGTGTTGCTTATTCCATAGAGCAGAGCCCTGATGTGCAATAATTACCTTTTAAGTAGAGATCATATCTTTCTATTTCATAAGAGAGCAGAAACAATAGGGAGGAAAAAAAAATCTGTAAGGCAGAAAAACTTGCATTTGTTCCAGCCATTAGCAGAGTGGGAAGAGCAGCACTAGAAGGAAAGATATTGTGACAGTTGTCCTAGCAAACTGGCTGTGAAGGCTACATTAATGCATACACACTCCTAGAGCCCTGAGGCTCCTATCCAACATATGTTAAATCCCAGAGAAATTACTAAAATATTTCTTGACAACTCGACTTAGAGACTACACATGCATACAGCAGACAGATGGCAGACAGATTATCTTTTTGGTTGGCACAGTGACTCAGCTGGGAAGGGACAGTGTGGCTTATACAGCCAAACTGGCCTTGCACAATCATTTCAAAATGTATCAAACCATTTTTTTTTTGTGGAACAGTACCTGGCAGGGAAGGTGTCCTGCCTTATAAATCCCAGGTGACTCCTTTGTCTTAAAGGTTTTCTCCACATGTTTTGACAATATTGGCAATGAATCAAAAGCATCCTTAGTGCCTGAATTTCTGACTCCAGTCTCCAGCTGCAGACTTCAGATGTTTTCAAAAGGCCTAAAACGCCTTTTAATGCAAGGTCTGTCCTTACCAGAGCAAGCATGATCCACAAATTCCCTTGTTCTTTACAGAACCACCTCATTAACATTTCTCAGCAGCATTTTCAGCCTCTGAATGTTTTGTGTGTGTGTGTGTTTTTTTTTTTTTTCTCCCCCTCCTCTGACCAGCACCCTTAACTTGTTAACACCAGATTTAGATAGCATTACAGTAACCTAATGCCTTGTGTGGGCTGTGGCCATCTCTGCCTGTGGTGCTGCTTCCCCATCTGTAGAAGAGAGCAGCAAGATAGAAATAGAGATGCCACAGACAAGGACAGATGTCCAGACAGGGCATTACCACCGTGACTTAAGGGCAGCGATTTCTGGAGCACTTATTCTTCCACTGAAAAAGCAGCAAGAAGTTTGGAACAGCCTGTGTATTCTTCTATTTAAGCTGAGTACTTACATGATACAGAGCCAGGACTGCTGATACTGCACCCCTGTGACTGTTGCCGTGACCCCTTGAATTGTATCTGATAGGAGATGAACTAGGGAGGGAAAAAAGAAAATATTACAATTTGCATATGTGCTCTGCAACACTAGAGTCTTTTCAAATGGATGCCAAGTGCTAATACAAAGCGCACTAATTTATCTGCATACTGGATTGATGCAAGGGTGGCAGGGGTGACAACAGGGAAAGATGAAGCATTTGACCTGATGCTTCTGAATTCTGCCCTTCAGTCTTTCAGTTTGAAAAGGCAGCTGTTTTGCCTAACCTCATCCTACCATAATACAAGATTATTAGATTAGCATTATTCAATGCACACACAGAGACAGGACTGGAAGAGATTTCCTCCTCCAATTTCCCTGCCCTCTTCCCTCTTTGTAATTACTCTCACAAGTCATCTTATGGAACTGCTCTTTTTTCCTTTATTGGCAGAAAGCTTAAATTAACAAGATAAATGCAAAGCTCTAAGACAGCAAGAAGTAAGCAAAGCATGAACATGCTTACTACATGCTCAGGACTTGACATATCTGTTAAACAAATTCACTCAGGCTGTGACAGTTACATTTGAGGTGCGATGTACATGTGTGTTTATTCATTCCTGTTGGCTCTGAAACATCATGGGTGCCTACAGAGAAACAAGGCTTAGTTAAGCTTCTTTACATCTTGGGCTAGAGGGTAGGGTTTTAGTCTATGCTATGACATTTGCTTGTAGTTTAAGGTGACACTTAAGCTAACAATGTTGGCTAGGGCTACTCAAATGTTGAATTTCTGGAGAAAGAAAAGGCACCTCTCACCACCTGCAGCTGACTAGAAGCAATGTAAATGCTCAGCCCTCACCAACAAATTATATTAGGAAGGTGGTCAGAGCAGTCACCTTCTCCAGCCTGTGTGAATTCAGATAGTGAATCACAAGGCAAAGGAGCTGTTTCTGAAAGGACACCAGCAAGTGCCTCTTTGCTTAAAAGCATCAACCACTTGTCTACAGACAAGTGCATCACCCTAACAGGGACAAGCCAAACACTCCAGTGCTGGGCACTTCTGGACAACACCCATACATCTCATCTTAGGGGCCAGATTCCACTAAACTATAAAAATCCCAGTGACATAAGACTGTCCAGCCTAAGTGACATAAAGAACCCCCACTCCCCTCATGTGACATGCACCATGCCAGTCCAAAGACCATGCAGTAGTGTCTTTTACATGCCACCAAGAGAAGCAAGATGAACAGCAACCTGTAGGCAAAGGTGAATCAAGAGCTAATTACCATTCCCTTCTCGAGGGGTCCCTGAATCTGTGAATAAAGTGCTCATGATTTTCTCAAAGTTGCAGCTCGGCTCCGTGTTATCAGGGTCTTCAGCAAAATGTTTCAGCATCTCTCGAAGGACGTCATCTAAGGAGGTTGCAGTTTCATCAAGGATGATGCTGGCTCTGGCCAAGAACCCATCCAGGTCTCGGTGGGCTCTGACTTCCTCCTCAAAATTCTTTAACTTCAGGTACTGCATGAAGAGGTCAGAACATTAGAGAGACTCGTGCAATGCCTAATTGCAGAGAACTAATACCCAAGTAGTTGAAAAGAACCTTTTGTTCCAGTTACCACCAGCAAGCCAGAGATTCTGGAATCACTTTCCCAGCGCAGATGACATTTTAAATAAGAGTTTATATGATTCTATTACTGCACCAAAGGCCTACATTCTCAAGGCTTAAGCTAGTTTAGTCATCACAGGCACATACCTAAACACCATTTAAATCCTGACATAGAAAGCAGAACTAACAACATTAGTTTCATTGCCTAGGATGAAGCACAAAAGTTGGTCTAAAACCATAAATGCTCAAGGTAGCATTTAAGAGTCTCTCTTGGTTTAAATAACTCAAGATTTTTATAATACTGGAAAAGTTACTTTGAAGAAATATACTTTGAGCTCAGCATCATGAAACATTACTAATATGCACATGAGCATCCAAAGCTAGCTCTTCTCAAACAAGGAGCTCCCTCTCCTTGTTCCTCCAGTTAGGAAGTCTGGAGAGGGAGATGAGGAATGCTCTCTACCTCAGAGCCTTTAATCCCTATATCTCTCCCACCCCCTGTTCCACATCCAAGGAAGTTCTCATCTTTTGCACAGAAGACTCAGCTTTGAGTCAGGGTATAAACAGGAGATGGGAGAAGACAGTGTCAGCCTTTGTCTTCCAGCTCTCTACTGGTTCCCTTTGCAGTCCCAGTCACAAAGCTGGTAGATGTCTAGGAGATACAACAGGAGAGCCATGCTATGTTAGTCTCATTTCCTTTCTGCATTTGTCAGGGGAGTTCAACTGAATTAAATATGTAATTCCCATTCACGCTTCTTGGAAATCCAAGAATGCAGTTAGCAAAGTATCTGTCAAGTGACCAACAATCATCGCCTTCAGTAGCTTGAGATTAAATGTGGATATGAGATTTAGACATCATTATATGGATCTTCCATCCCACTGGAAACCAGCAAAGCCCAAATTCATAGTGTTGAGGGCCAGATTTTAAAGATACATTTAGGCTCCTGGTGACCCTAGGCTGTAGGTGACCTTGCTGGAGCTCAAGACATCCCTTTCAACCTCAACTATTCTGTGATTGAAGCTCCCTGCTCCCCTTAAACTCAGTAAGGATCAAGATCCGAACTCCTTTTCCAAAGCTAACTCCGACCTGCTTCCAAGACTAGGAGCTTGACACATTCCTCCCATGATACTGGACTGCCCCAGAACCTGAACCAAAAAGATTCCTTCCTCTCACACATACCCCCCCCACTACCTTTTCCATTTATAGCCTAGACACAGCAAAGAATGCTAACATCTCAGTAATTACTGTAATTATCAAGGCAACTATCAAGTTGTCAGTACACATCCATTGCAATTAACACTGTTTTACTTTGCATCAATCATTTCTCAGAGAGCACGGTGGAGACAGAAGAGCCTCCCAAGGATTTGAGCTCCCACCCCCAAGCCCTTGTTGCCATCTGTTCTTAGGAGAGGAAACAGTGAAGTAGTTGCATTGCAATCCCAACTAGAGGAGGCAACCAAGTGGCCAAGGGAGACAGCCTATCACCACAGGAGAACAGATTAAGCATCTACAACCATTTTAGAGCAGGAGCTGTAAGAAACTTGTGGAGTCACAGCATGATCAGCAACCATCTCTGCAAGCAAGGCAGGGTGGTTTTCCTGAAGCAAGTTACCTCCTCAGAGCCTGACTTTGGATAGGGGTTCCAACAGCACAGGCCAAATAAGAGGATTTAGTGGTGTGAATGGCACAGATGGTAGCCAAGGAAATATAGGGAGGGTTAAGAACATGAGGAAGGCCAGCTTGCCATGAATGTGCCCTCACAGCTACTGTTGTGGTAAGAAGGCATCAAAAAGACAAAGCAGTGGCTTCATAACTATGTTTAATAACTGCTTATCAGGATTTGGCTCCAGCTTTGTCAAAGACCTCTGGCACAGCCTTGGGTAAATCTTAGGCCTCAGTCCTCTGTTGCCTTTCCTCACTCTTGAACAGGGTCCTCCTGCCCATGACACAGGCAAATTAAACACTGAAAGGCAGCTTGCTAGCAGGGGAGGATATAAATACATTTTTTCTCTAGCTGAGACACAAAGAATCAGTTGGTAAAGCAGCACCTGGGAGCTAGCTCAAACAGAGCCTGCTCCACAATCAGGACACCCACTGTTTTGGAGAGAAATTTATGACTGCTCCCTCACAAATATTTTTAGCTAAATAGTCAAATCACACCAGGATATGTGATACTCAAATATGCTTAGCAAAAAAAAAAAAAAAAAACACACACACACACACACACACCACACACACACAGCACACCAAGACAGCCACCACACAGTAGCTTTAACAAAGCCCAGTATCCACCAATACAAGCCTGAACACTTCTGTTACAGCAGGAAGAACCAAGGCTATTGAGCTTACAGAGGCAAGAAAACATTAAATATCCTCCCTCACTACAGGCAGAGTTACTGCCCAGCCACTACAAAAAGTTGCAAGCTTGATCGGCACAAAATTAACTGATTTCAGTGCTCATCATGAAGGTCCAAAAGGTTAGTTATCTGCTGGGCTGCTGCTCTGGATCACATGCATTTCCAGACACTGCAAGCACATTACAAGAGTGCTCCACCTTTGCAGCCAACACGGACACTTGGGGCAATCTCCTCCGAAACTCATTGAAATGATGACTAAACAGCTCAACAGCAGCCTCTAGATTTCTTTCTGGTACCTACAAAATGCAGTGCAGTGGTTAAAATTTGCCCAAGACATGGATTACACTGCCAGTAATCTCCGAAAAGCATAAACAGGTGACAAGAGAAAGGAACATCCCAATGGGAAACATCTCTAATATTTCATCTAGTGATTCCCCTTCCTGGTCACTTTGAACCATATCCAACAACCTTTTTCCATGTCCTGCATGGGGCAGCCCCACATGTCTGCCCTGCAAGGCTCTTCCTACTGATCTTGCTATGCTGTCCATCCTCCAAAGTCAATATCCACAGATATTCTCAAGTAAAAATAGTAGAAACTCCCCTCCAAAACTGTCTGTGCACAAAAGGTCCTCAGTGCAGGACTAGCTCTATAGAGAGAGTGTGGAAACAGATTGATTGAAAAACCCATATGCCTCTGTAGATGCTTCTAGTCCAGTTTCCTTCATATTCAATGCACACAATTCCACCTGTCCTTCCTGGAAGACATTGGCAGTAGCATCTTTTCACATGCCCAGCTAAAGCAGGGTATCTCTCTGGCATTTTTTGCTTAACAGCACACTAAAATGCTTAAGCATTAATTAAAGTGTCAAGAAAGCAGGAATCCTACAGAACTGAAAAGAAAAATAAATCAGAAAAGCTACATGTGCTGCACCTCCTATCTATTTCCTATCAGATTTAGATCCTGCATTTGTATTTGGAATTTGCATTTGAAAGGACCAAGTTCCTCTGCTGCTTTAAATCTAGGGCATAAAATTCAAAGCAACTTAGGTACTAGTATTAATCAGGGCAATTTATTTACAATGATTTCAGTTCCCAAGCATGACTGTTAGCATGCAAAATAGTGAACTGGATCTTTTATGACCTAACATCAAGTACCCATTTCCCCCACTGCATGGTTTTTGCATATTTTATGTAGTTGAGGGCCTGGGTCTGCAGGACCACTACCAATACAGGGCTCATGCATTTCTGCCTTATCGTTATCAAGTTAGGGTCTCAAGAGGGAGCACAAACTAAATGCTGTTTCACAACAGTCCTTTCAAGAGCCCGCGCATCCAGGGAGTTCGTTCCTGCTGCTCCTTGCTAACACAGATATGATTAGCTGGGATAAACAGGAAACCAAGTCACAGCAGTGTCTATGGGATACTTTTGTTTTAGGCTCGAGACGAGCTAAGCAGCCCGAGACTATGGTGCAGGCCTGGATCCCTTCACAGGCAGCTACAGAAAGAAGGGATGAATTAATGTGTCAAGGAATTGTCTGGGACAAAAAACAGTGGAACAATCAGACTTAGAAAGAAATTGCTTGGAAAACAAACACCACATGGCTTTAGAAATCTAAATTAAGACAGAGGGAAAGAGGCATTAATGTCTTCTGTTCAGGCCATAAAAAAACAACAGTGCTCCAAGTGTTTCAGACTCCTTTCTCTGCTTCTAAATTACTAAAGACATTATAAATAATTCTTACTTACCTTCCTTGATGTGTGCAGCAACACGCAGCCAGCACTTTCATTCTCAACTGGAAAGAAAAATTGAGGAAATGTTACTATCACTGGTACCTGACAG